TTATTAAATCATAAATAATACATCACCCCAGGTCATCGGAACTGAACTTCACCCTGCCCTCTGCCCTCTGCCCCCTGGAGGTGACTTAATTTTTGTTTCATGAACTTCAGTGTGAGTCTTGCTGATCATCGAGCAGGGCACATGGAAATGCTTTGACCTCAGGGGAAGGAAGGAGTCATTGTGTGAGTTACCTGTGTGGTTACCATGGCTATCTTCAGGATCTGCAAGCCCAGCTTCCACGGGATCTGGCGTCTGGCTCGGTATTTCTCACAGGGGTTCATGAAGTAGAACTTCAGGTCTTCCCTCAGACACACTTCCCTCACCTCAGAATCAAGAGATGCCACTGCGCTTCTGCCACAGAAGACAGTGTTTAAATACCCCGAACAGGAACAGCCCGTTTCTCACAGCACTCCTGGTCTGCACGTCCTGCTCACATACTTTACCTGGCTCCCCAGACGCAGGACCCTCAGACCAGTGAACCTCTCGTCTCTAGAAACCCAAAAGAGGGTTCCACGCCTTTGTTAACCTGCCTTTGTATATAACCACCCATCTCATTCAAAATGCCCACTATGAGAATTAACAGCTTTGCCTGTCATTTCTTACATCTCAGTATACAGCGCCTCCTGTTCCTACAGAGTTAGAAGGAAGTGTGTGAGAGAGTGAAAATGTGAGAGTTTCTCAGTGTGAGCTGTTACACCAATAAAACCAGATGGGAATCTCTCATGACACTTGGTTTTGAAATGATTGACATTTGATATAGATAAACAGCATTAAATTGTTAAGGAATTAGAGAATCTTTATTCTATAAGTTTGAGAAGGATTATGTCCCCCACTCATGGATAAATATCAGTGATTATGAGACTCCAGAAGAGAGAGTGGTGGGGGATATGATAGTAACACATTACATACATGCCTGAAATTGTCAAAGAATAAACATTTAATTCTAAAACGTAAACAGCTTGAGAAAGCTATAATAGCAGCTCTCTGCTACGTCCAGGCATATTTTTGTGAACTTAGTTCATTAACTCTAAACTCATGGCTAGACTTGTGATTCACCAAGGCCAGAGACAACCAAAGAGATATGGTTACATAACTGTAACCATAACTGATGAGACAGATGTCGTTTAATAAAGTCTCCAAAGTGAGGAGTGCAAAATATGCCGGGGGTATAGAAATTATTGATGCTTGCATTTGTAACCCCTAAAACTAAAAACATGAATGTTATTAGTAGTTAATATAGCATAGAACATGTATAACACAAAATTAACCTAAATTGCATATGTAGCATAATAGAACAATGTGTAAAGTATATTTAACAGTAGCATGTAATCAGTATGATTATAATAGGAGTATTTGATAAACTCTTACTGTTGGGACAGAGTCAACAAAGATCAGAGACCATAGACTGAAAGAATGGGCTGTGGCTGTGAATTTGGCAATCTGAGGGGGAATCTTCCACCATAGGTGAGAGCTTCTGGGGGCTGGAGCTCACCCCAGAAGTTAGAGGGGACAGACGCCAAGTTTAATAGTGATGTCAGAGTGTAGGAGGAGTTTCTTTTTGACCACCAGGCCCAAATAATGTCATGGAGACTTATTATTAGTTATAAATTCTTGGTCTTTAGCTTAACCTTGTTTCCAGCTAGCTCATATAACTAGCTCATATAGCTTGTTTCCAGCTAGCTCATATTAATCTATGTTCTGACACTCGCATTTTTACCTCTCCTCCATTTTGTGCATCCAGCTTGCTCCGTGTCTTGCTGGCATCTCCTGCACATGCCCTAGATTCATCCAAGTTCCTCTCTTTCCCCTAAGTCCCGCCCATACTCTGCTGATTAGCTGTGAGCATTCAGCTCTTTAGTAAACCAATCAGTGACACTTCTTTACACAGTGTAAACAAATGTCCCCCAACACCAGAGTTCCTGGCTCCAACCATCTCTGAAGCTGTCTATCTCAAGACTTTCAGATCAAGCTTAAGTGGAGGAGGCTTGTGTCAGTTTGAGGAGGCAGTGTCTTCATGAGTAAGTACTGCTGGGCCAGGATTGCTCAAGTTACAGATTTCTTGGGGAGCTTATAGTTATTCCTGGGGATTTTCTTATAGAGATTATTTAACAATGTCTCACACGTCTATGATCTGTGTTGTCTACCTGGACTAACAACTTTAAAAGAAGCTGAAAGGTGTGACAGGGTGGGTCATGCACATCATGATGTTTGAGGGAGAACAGAGGAGAGCTTAGTGGAGCCCGTTCTCTCCATCCACCTTTTTGTAGGATTGAACCCAGACCACCAGTCTTCCACAGCAACCGCCTTTACATACTGAGCCATCTCCCTGGCTCTGGCTTTCTCTTTCTAAATTGATTTTCTTTTCCCTTTCTTTTTTAAATCTCATTTCTAAGATTGGTACACTAGGTTAGCTAGAACCATCCTGCCAGAAATAAAAAAGGAGGTAAGAAATGAATAAATGAAGAAGGATGGAATGAAGGAACGAAGGCATGCGAAGACAGAGGGGGAAGAAAAGAGAAGGGAGAAAGAAGACGAGAGAGTGTCTTAGCTACGGTTTCTGTTTCTGTGAGGAAACACCATAACCATTAAGCAAGTTGGAGAGCAAAGCATTTATTTGGCTTATAGTTTCACGTTGCTGTTCACCACTGAAGGAAGTCTGGACAGGAATTCAAACAGGGCAGGAACCTAGAAGCAGGAGCTGATGCAGAGGCCATGGAGGGGAGCTTCTTACTGGCTTGCTTTTCCTGGCTTCCTCAGACTGCTTTCATATAGAACCCAGGACCACCAGCCCAGTGATGGCACCACCCACAATGGGCTGGACCTCCCCCATTGATCACTAATGAGAAAATGCCTTACAGCTGGATCTCATGGAGGCATTTCCTCAACTGAGGTTCCTTTCCCTCGGATGACTCGAGCTTGTGTCAAGTTGACACAAAACTACCCAGGACACAGAGAGAGCTGGAGAAAGTGGTTCCTACGGAAGGCCCATGCTGCGTGAAGGTGCCTGGGGAAGAGCCTGTAAAGACGGAGGGTCTGATAGTAGACGGCTCCTGGGGCAATCTCTCCAAGTGTCTACAGCTGCCGCCAACTGCCACTCATGCACTCTGGGACTCGGTAGGTGTGTGGTTTCCTGAAAGGAGACCAAGAAACCAGAGCTCAGACCAGGTCCCTCCATGAGCTGACAGTGGATTCCTCTCTCATGCAGATGTGTACCCCAAAGCACTCTCCTCTCAGGAAGCAGGCTGAGAAACTGCTGCTACAGCTACCCTGAAGACCAGACTGACTCCATATCCTATTTCCAAAGAAAGAGGAAATGAAAAAGCAACCCCATTCCCAGACACACTAGCCATAAACCAAAACCAGTGAGACTCAACGCTAGGTGGCTAGGGTACTTCAAAGTGTTGGGTTGCTTGAGTGGAGGGGTTCCAGCTGTGTGCTCGGATATGCAGTGGATGAGCCTCCAGGGACTTGGAACAAGCTAACAGGTAACTTGTGAGATATGGCCAGCATCTAATTAAACAGAAGCAGAGCAATGGCAGCCAAGTAACAATATAGCTTAGAATGTGGCAGAAAGTGAGCATACACCACTACCTGCATTAGGACTGGACGCCTTAGAAAAGAGCCTAGCTGGGGCCGGAGAGATGGCTCAGTGGTTAACAGCACTGACTGCTCTTCCAGAGGACCCAAGTTCAATTCCCAGCATCCATACGTGGCTAACGACTGTCTGTCTTCAACCCTAGGGGATCCAATGCCCTCTCCTGGACTCTACAGTTACTACACACATATGGTGCACAGAGCTATATGCAGGTAATACACCCATATACAGAAATACAAAATAAAAATTAAGGGCTACAGAGGTGGCTCAGAAGTTAAGAGCACTAGCTGTGTAGGGGACACCTGTAGCCAGCCCCTAGCAGGCGTGGTTACGGTGATTGAAAGGAGGTGTTCAGGCTTGGACACCTCTCTCAGATGACTTTAGGGTTTAGTTAAAATAGATAGTTATGATGTGACATAAGCAGATTGTTGTGTCTTCTTATATTTCACTTTTATGATTGTTCATTTTGGACACTTTACACTGTTAAGTTTTAATCCTCTTTTAGACTAAAAGGGGAACTGTAGGGGACACTGTAATCACGCCTGCTAGGGGCTGGCTACAAGTGTGCCTGACCACGTGCCTGTGAGGGCATGGTCATGGTGAAGAAGGGAAGGTTTAAGAGTGAGGAACACGCACGTGGGCTTCCCTTCTTCCTTTTTATCTTTGGCTTGCTGTACTTACTGCTGCCCTGCATGCTGGCTAGGTCACTCTGTAAGAAAGGCTTTTCCCTAATAAATACCCTTGTATTTTTACCTGACTCTATATTGGTAGTTCCCACATTATAGCTGCTCTTCCAGAGGTCCTGAGTTCGATTCCCAGCAACCACATGGTGGCTCACAACCATCTATAATGAGATCTGGTGCCCTCTTCTAGTGTGCAGGAATACAGGTAGGCAGAACACTCTATACATAATAAATAAACCTTTAAAAATTTTTAAAAATAAAGTTAAAAGCAGCTGTGAACACCACCCAGCATGGGTGAAATACTTATAAGATAAACTTTAATAAACAAAATACCCTTTTTTAGAAAGTAATGATAAACCAACTACTAAAGAAGTCTCATTTCAAAGACGAAGCTAGATATTGTGGCCCGTGTCTATAATTTCAGCACTCCACAAGCTGGGACAAGAGGACTTTAAGGACTTCTAGGCCAACCTGCCATCCATAATGAGTTCCAGGCCAGCCAGTGAGTTCAGACTATGTATGTGTTTGCACTGAGCGTGCTATAGGCAGCTCCTTAGTCAGCCTAACTGACTGAATAGTCACTTACTCTGTGGGCTGGGTGCTTGGGACAGGACATGGGGGTGAGAAGGTTTGTTAAAGGTCACATGCTCAAGCTCCAGCAGGAGAGACTTGGCAACACATCATTGTTAAGCAAGTGAGTGAGGGTTGCACCACAGTGTACCCATGATTGCAGACACAAAGTTCTGACTGTGAGGTAAAGGGTTCAAATTCGAGGAGAACCCTCTCATGGTCATAATACACAGGTGTCAAAGCCACAAGCACTTGACTGGGGAGATGGAGGGACCCAGTACCCATGATTGCAGACACAAAGTTCTGACTGTGAGGTAAAGGGTTCAAATGCGAGGAGAACCCTCTCATGGTCATAATACACAGATGTCAAAGCCACAAGCACTTGACTGGGGAGATGGAGGGACCCAGCGCCGTCTGCCTGAGCCTGAGTCAGCTGCTCACAAAAGAACTTTAGAGCCGGGCGCTGGTGGCGCACGCCGCAGGTGGATCTCTGTGAGTTCGAG